AATCGACAAGAGCAGCACAAGCAAAATAGTCTCTTTAATGTCAATCCCAAAGCATTTTATAGGGAGCTGCGAGAAGGAAAAAGGGAACCCATTGAAGCTCCAGCCATCTCTACAACTGAAACGTATTGGAAAAGTATTTTGAGAAAAGTGTTAACCACAACGAGAACGCAAAGTGGCTGAAAAAGGTAGAAGGGGATAGAGCCACAACTATGAGCTGGCAAAATATCAGTGTCGTGGAAGTCAGATCAGCACTGCAGCAGGCCCAAAATTGGAAAGCCCCTGGTATAGGCCAGATACCCAATTTCTGGCTGAAACATCTCGTGTGCACACACGAAACAATAACAATGATATATAATAGTTACTTCGATAACGGAACAGATATCCCAAACTGGCTGCCAAAGGGTAAAACATATCTTCTTACAAAGTCTGGAGATAGTAAGGACCCCAAAAATTACAGGCCTATCACCTGTCTGAATACCTTGTACAAATTGTTAACTAAAGTTGTAGCCAGCAGAATATCTGATTATGTAAATGATAATAAGATAATACCAACTGAACAAAAAGGCTGTGGCAAGGGCTCTCTTGGTTGCAAGGATCAGCTACTCCTCTCGAAAGCCATTGTAGAAGATTGTAAAGAGAACAAAAAAAATCTTAGCATTGGATGGATTGGCATTCGACAGCGTCCCGCACAGCTGGCTCCTGAAATCTCTGAAACTTATAGGAACATCTGAGAAGATCATTGATCTATGTAAGCGATTGATTTCGCTATGGGGTACTACCCTGTTAGTCAGTAATAAGGGAAGAAATAGAGTTAAGACCCATACAGATAAAAAGAGGTATATATCAAGGTGATACCTTGTCACCTCTTCTGTTTGTCATTGCGATGGTTCCTTTAAGTACGCTGCTCAACGAGGCCAACCTAGGTTACCAACTTAAAGGAGCAAATGATTGTCTCTCCCATTTGCTATATATGGATGACCTAAAGCTCATATCTCCCAGCAAAAACAAACTGAATACGTCTCTCAATATTGTAAAAAAATTTAGCGACGACATACAGATGAGCTTCGGTCTCGATAAGTGCGCTGTAGTCACATTCAGGAGAGGAATGCATTATGACTCTGATAATATAATAGTTGATGAAGGAGAGACGATCAAATCACTAGAACATGGCGGAGTGTACAAGTACCTGTGAATTAAAGAAGGCTCACACATCACCCACGATTCACTGAAAGTTGATATTAGACATGAGTATATAACGAGAGTACGTAAAATTCTGCAAACTCAACTCACGTCTAGAAACAAGATAACAGCAATTGGAGCTCTTGCCATACCAATCATGCAGTACAGCTTTGGTATAATCAATTGGACATTGGATGACATAAGACAAATGGATCGCAAAACAAGAAAACTAATGACAACACATAATATCCCTCATCCCAAAGCAGACATCGACAGATTATACGTGCCACGAAAGAAAGGGGGACGAGGACTAAAGCAAATAGAAGAAACGTACAACAATACTATCTTCTCAGTAGGGCAGTATATTCAAACTAGATCTGAGCAAGACCGCCTACTACAGATGTTACTAGCACATGACAATAGGAAACCAACAAATAGATCTATTGTAAAGCGTAGTAATAAGATCAAATTAGAAGCTGCGGAAGCCGGACATACGGTCGAGCGAGGTAACAGGTCCATCAAACTGTACTTGAAGCAATGTGTCGAAGAGAAATGGCGGAGTAAGCCTCTACACGGACAGCATATCCGTCAAATGGAGGAGCTTCCGGTTGACTTAAGACTGTCATCTGGATGGTTACAGTACGGAGATTTAAAAGGGGAAACGGAAAGCTTGCTGGTGGCAGCACAAGATCAAGCCTTGAAAACGCGTTACATTGAGCAAGCAATACACAAGACGAGGAATGACGGTAAATGCAGATTGTGTCACATTCATAATAAAACTGTTGAACATATAATATCTGCATGTCCAATACTAGCGCCAAAAGAATATACTGACAGGCACAATATTGTCTGCGCAGCCATCCATCTAGAAGTGTCTCGCCACCTTGGTTGTCCAATAAAATCGACGAAATGGTATGAGCATCACCCCGACAGAATAACACGAAGTGAAGATGGTAGTATCACAATAATGTATGACCATCCCGTTATCACGGATAGAGAAATAAAAGCAAACAGACCAGATATTGTTATAAAAACCACCGAAATATGCTATAATTGATATATCGATACCTGCAGATAGACATGTCATACAAAAGGAGGCTGAAAAGCAACTAAAATACAAATCATTACTCATAGAAGTGCAAAGAATGTGGCATACAAAGGCAGTTGTTATTCCCGTAGTGATTGGTTCAACTGGATATGTCACTCGCAACATCCTAGATAACCTAAAAAGGATACCAGGAGATCATAATTTCTATCAGTTATTAGGCACATCGCACATAATTAGGAAAGTTATAACATAACCAGCTCATAAATACAAAGATCTGTACCCCTCAGCTCCTCGGCGAGGACCCGGTGCAGAGGTCAAACCATTCCATATAATACTAATACTAATAGAAAACGGTCCTGTAGCGTGAAAAAAAAAGATGAAATAATAATAATAATATAATAATAATAATAATATAATTATTATAATATATTAATATATTGATAACAATAATATAATAAAAATAATAATAGTAATAAATAATATAATATTATAATAATAAAAATAATTATAATAATGATTATAAATAATATATAAAAGTTATAATAATAATTTAATAATAATAATAATAATAATAAGTATAATAATATTAATAATAGTAATAATATAATAATAATAATAATAATAATAATAATAATAATAATAATATTATATATAATAATATAATTTTATAATAATATAATAATAATATATTATTATAATAATAATAATAATTATTACCATAATAATAAATTTACCGGAAATAGAAAATCAAGCGGTCGAGGATGAAGAAGAATTACTGTCTACAGATATTAAGTCCATGACAAGGAAGACCTTGAAGGATAAATGGATACGAAAGCAGCTTCATGGTCAATACGTGAAGAGAATTAAGAGGCCAGGGATTAATGAATGCCAAACGTTTGCGTGGCTCACGAGAGGGAAGGTAAAAGGCCCTGATAACGGCCGCCCAAGACCAGGCCTTACGTACAAGACAAAAATGGTATAATCACAACCCCACTCCAGTAGTTAGTAAAGATGAGATTACCGTAATATATGCCTTACCAGTGCAAACAGATCGTGAGATATCCGCGAGCCGTCCAGACATAATCGTCAAAAACCAACGTGACAAAACCTGCCTGTTAATAGATGTTTCAGTCCCCAACGATGAAAACGTTGTAAAAAAGAAGCTGAAAAGAAATTGAAATACAAAGATCTCTCAATTGAAATCCAAAGGATGTGGAATCTGAGGACGAAGATAGTTCCCGTAATTTTAGGTGCTTTAGGGACGATCCCAGACAATCTACATGAAAACCTAAATCTCATACCAGGAAGGCACAGGGCAGCAGACGTGCAGGAGATTGCTTTTTATGGTACAGCAACCATATTACGTAAGACACTATAAGGTAATGGACTTCGTTAGGATGTGGGTAACATCTTCGAAGTACCATAATGAAAATGACCAACCAAAACCGGCCCACATGGACAGAACCAGTTGAATAGATAGGAATGTGGAAAATAAACAAATAATAATATAATATAATAATAATAATAATAATAATAATAATAATAATAATAATATAATAATATAATAATAATAATAATAATAATTATAATAATAATAATAATTACTTTTCATCCAATCCAGGGACATGTGTTTATCTACATTGGTTTTGTGTAGGTTATTGTAGAACTGTCCATGGAGTGGTTTCGATTTTAGGGCGTTGACTTTTTCTGTTCGCATGGCCTCCTTTACTCTGAGTTTCAAGTTGTCCGCTGACTGATCTTCGTTCAATTTGTATGCATATTGTCTTTTCATGGCTTCCCCGATCTTTGTAATGGAGTATTTAGCCTTTTGTTGCTCATGCAATAGCACGAACTTGATGAAAAGTACAGGACTGAAGGCGGAGACTGAAAGTCTACTGATTGCTGCACAGGACCAGGCACTTAACACGCGCTACCATAGAAGAATGGTCCTGAAACAGAATGTCGACAGCAAATGCAGAATATGCCATCAATGTGAGGAACATATAAGCCACATTATTTCAGGCTGCTCAACACTGGCACCAACAGAATACACCGAAAGGCACAACAACGTCGCTAAATACATACACTGGGCTATCCTCAAGCAGCACCAAGTACCAGTTAGCAACAACTGGTATGATCATTCTCCTGAAGCAGCAGTAGAGGCAGACGAAGCATTAATTATGTACGACAAAGGAGTCATTACCGACCGTACGATTTCCGCCAACCGACCTGATATTATTTACCATCATAAAACACAGAACACATGTCTGCTAATTGAGGTATCTGTACCAGACGACAACAACGTCAACACCAAAGAAGCGGAAAAGGCCAGAAAATACAAAGACCTCGAAATCGAAATATCGCGCATGTGGAAGACAAAGACAAGAACGGTACCCGTGATCATCGGAGCTTTGGGGACTGCCACTATGTCATTCAAGAACAACATAAAAGAACTCCCCGGAGATGTCTTTGCAACACAAGTTCAAAAGATAGCACTGCTAGGAACAGCCCACATTTTGCGGAAAACCCTTTCCGACTAAAGACCTTAGAACTCAGGCAGAGTTCCGGTCAAGCTCATCCCTTCCTCTAGGAGTGAAATACAGAATAATAATAATTATAATAATAATAAGTATTATAACAATAACAATAATAATTATAATATTATAACAGAAGCTACAACGATGGATTGAAAAACCTCTACATGGGAGACATGCAAACGAGATTAGCCAAGAAAACGTTGACAAGAAAGCGTCAAACTATTGGCTTACCTCAGGCCAAATGTTCCCTGAGACTGAGGGATTCCTTGTAGCTATACAGGACCAGGTCATCCCTACCAACAATTACAAGAGGTTCATACTTAAGAACTTGCAACAGTCTGATAAATGCAGGTACGGCTGTCAGGACTCCGAAACACACGTAACTGGTGGATGCCAAGCATTCGCTCCAACGGACTATAAGGAGCGCCACGACATAGCTGCCAAAATCATTCACCAGGAGTTGGCATACAAATTAAAACTGACCGAATGTAAGCTACAGTACTACAAATATACACCGCAATGTGTCCTCGAGAACGACAAGTATAAACTATACTGGGATCGCACTGTGCTTACGGATCAATACATAAAACAAAACAGACCTGACATAATCATTGTCGACAAGGGCGCCCAGAAAGTAACACTGATTGATGTGGCCATACCTAATAGTAACAATTTAACATACAAAAATAATGAGAAAGTTGCAAAATACAGGGAGCTAGAATTTCAAATTAAACGCCAGTGGAAAATGAAGTACGTGGAAACAATACCAATAATAATGTCATCTACAGGGGTGATACCAAGAAGCCTGCTAGAAAACATCAAAGCACTGGAACTGAGTGAAAACATTCACAAAATCATACAGAAAGGAGTTTTGCTGGCAACTGCCCGCATAGTAAGAAAATTTATGGGAAATGCAAGTACCTAGTGAGGTCACTACTGAGGCTTACCCCTTTGATGCTTGAAACGTCCGGGTTAAGCCAGAACACCCCGATTAATGGGAGTAACAAAGCCCTACGGCTATAAAAAAAATAATAATATAATAACAATAATAATAATAATTATAATAATAATAATAATAATATTTATAATAATAATAATAATAATGATAATAATTATAATAATAATAATATTAATAATAATAATAATTATAATAATAATTATAATAAAAATAATAATAATAATATTGATAACAATAATATAATATAGTAGTATAATTTAATAATAATAATATTAATATTAATAATAATATAATAATAATGATAATAATAATTAGAATAATAATAATAATATAATAGTAGTAGTTCTTGCGATTATGCAGCATCGACTACTGGGTCATTAGTTGCGTGTCATTATGTGATTCAGTTTTGGTTGAGTGTAATTAGAGTTTCCAGTAAAAGCCCGTGCATTTCAGAAACGATATCGTGCTTTTTATTAGATCAGGCTTTTTCAGATTTTCTGCGAAATCTCTTGACAGACCAAAACTGTATCTAAGGTTGCTTAATGCTGGACATTCTATCATAATATGCATTGCAGTTAATCGTGCCTCGCATGACGGACAATTTGGATGACCTTGGCCCGAGAGTAAGTAGGAATGTGTCAATGCTGTGTGGCCCAAACGCAGTCTATGTATCCGGACGGCTTCTTCTCTACTGATCTTGACGTTAGGTGTCCATTTTGTTACATCAGGTTTTATTGTTCTTAGCTGAGTAGGTTCATTGTTCCACTGTCTTTGCCATGCTTCTGTTATACATTGTCTAATTTTCATTTTCATGTCTGGTGCTATCACTATTGTACAGTCTATTTCAGTTGCGGCAGCAGCCTGCCTTGCAGATTGATCTGCCAGTTCATTTCCTAGTATACCTACGGGTCCTCGTACCCATATAAAGACTACCCTCTAGTCGCCATCCATCAACACCTTTAATGTCTGAAGACATGCTAAGATTAATGGATCACGGGAATAACGATTTGACATAGCATGTAGGGTGCTCAAAGAATCACTGACTATAAGAGTAAGGTTGCTTTTCGACTCTATCTGGCAGTATTTAAGCGCCTGTAGAATTGCATACTGTTCGGCTGTGAAGATCGATGTCATTGCTGGGAGAGTCCATAAATGGGCCACCCCGTTTATGATAATCGAGCAACCAACTCCTGAGGCAGTTTTCGAACCGTCTGTGTAGATGGTTTCGGCACATGTGTACTGTTCCAGGATACCTTGAAAATGAGACCTCAGTAAGTTGTACTGTTGGTGTTTCCTTTTTGTGAAATTTTAACTTTTGCAGATGGGATCTGCCAAGATGGGGTTTCATTTTTGACTGGATAAACTGGCATTTTAGTCAAATTTAGCTCTCGAGATATTTCACAAATTCTCACACTGAGGGGTCTTGTGATAGTAGGCCTTCTATTATAGGTTTCATCATACATACTTAACAGAGAGAAATTCCGATGGTGTGGCGTAGCAGATGTACTGACTTCGTATGAGAGTACGAGTCTTTTTCTCCTTAGAGTTAATGGCTCGACGGCTGCTTCAGCGCAAAGGCTAGCTGCTCTCGTTGTACGGAATGCTCCAAGGCAGCACCGTAGTCCTAGGTTTGGGATTAATTGGCCTTGTAGATAAAGTAGTGGCCCATCATGCTGACGTTGGAGTCTGCAGAAATGTACGCACTTTGTTTTGGTATTTGACAATGTGAAACCACTGTTTATCGCATTTTGGCTTATTTGGTTTATTGCTGTCTGCAAGCTACCAGAAATTTCTTCAATGGAAGGGCCTGATGATAGTATACACAAATCATCGACGTATAGACATCTGTCCACCACCGGATTTATGGACTCGGCAAGTTTATTAATAGCAATCGCAAAAAGCGTACAGCTAAGTGTCGATCCCTGTGGTATTCCATTTTCCAAGGTGTGGACTGTTGCAAGAGTGTTTCCTACACGTACTTGCAAACGCCTGTCTGTAAGGAAGGATTTCAAAAATTTTGGGAGATTTCCTCTAAAGCCCCAATTGTGCAGTTGGTATAGAACATCATATCTCAAGACCAAATCAAAAGCTTTTTCTATGTCTAAACACATAGCTACTGTATGGTGACGGTTTTTAAACCCATTTTGGATGACATTCTCTACATAGACAAGTTGATCCACTGTAGACATATTTTTTCTAAATCCTGCCTGGTAATCAACAAGTAAGCCATTTTTTTCAAGAAACCACGACAGGCGCTCATTTACCATTCTCTCTAATATTTTTCCGAGACAGCAAGTAAGACTTATGGGCCTGTAACTTTCAGGCAAGAGTGGATCCTTTCCGTGTTTAAGAATGGGAATGACGATTGCAAGTTTCCAGTCTTTTGGGTATATTCCTGCAAGACATATCCTGTTGTATATGTTGAGGAGAGTAAGCTTGACATGGAGAGGAAGATGACGGATCATCTCATAATTTACCATATCCGGATCAGGAGCTGATCGATTTGTCTTTTTTAAGGCTTCTTCTAGCTCAAACAGTTGGAATGGCTCATTATACGCTAAAGATACGTCTGTTGAAAAGTCTAGTGGTATTTCCGTTGCATTTTTGGTGGACCTGAACTCGCGACTATAGTTTTCCGAGCTGCTGACGGTAGCAAATGTATCTGCTAGTAAATTACACACCTCATTTGTGCTATTAATGATGTTGCTGTTACAGGTCTGCAGATGTGTGATTTGCCTAACTGATTGTCTACCATACACGGCTCTGACTTTATTCCATACTTCACTTGCTGTCGTTTCAGTAGTAATAGTGGAGACATATTCTTTCCATGATTTTCTCTGGCTTTCTAGAATAAGACGTCGCGCTTTAGCTCTAGCTTTCTTAAAAGATATCATGTTTGATACCGTGCAGTTCCTCTTAAAAATATTAAGTGCACGCTTTTTTGATCTCACGGCATCGGATATGTCAGAGTTACACCATGGTAACCGACGGCCTCTTGGAGATCCACCACCAAGCGGAATGCTGTTCACCGCAGCCTGATGTATCAGCTGAGTAAAACTATGAATACCAATGTTATTATCTTGTACAGGACTCACAATTGATAAGTAGTCTTCGAATTGCTGTCAATTTGCCTTTGACATCAACCAGTATTGTGGCACTTGGGGACTACTTCTAGATATGTCAAAGGACGTGATACAAGGAAAATGATCACTATGATACATGTCATCTAGAGCTCTCCATTGGAGGCGATCGGCTATGGATGTTGAACTGATCGCTAGATCAATCGCAGAGAAAGATCTGGAACGAGCAGCCAGATGGGTGGACATTCCTGTATTTAGCAACATCAGATCTTCTCTGTCTAGTAAGTTTCCTATCAATTCTCCTCGGTGATCTAAACGTCCTGATCCCCACAGGAGATTATGCGCATTGAAATCTCCAATGAACAAGAATGGTGCTGGGAGCTGAGATATAACGTTTTCGATGTCACCAATTCGCCAATTTCCATCAGGTAGGTATACATATATTACAGACAGTTACCTTTAAAGAACTGTTATTCGAGCTGCAACAACTTGTAGTGCTGAGTTTACACATAAAGGCTCAAAACAGACATCCTCACGTAAAATTATCGCAACTCCTCCATGTGCTCGCTCGATAGCTGTGACATCTTTTCTCAAGATGTTATATTTTCTAAGAGAGTAAGTTTGATTTGGTCTGAGATGGCTCTCTTGAATACATAAGCACATTGGATCATGATTCTGTAAAATCAGCCTAAGCTCACAGTACCGTTGGACAATTCCATTGCAGTTCCACTGTATGATTGATTCCATTGCGATTTTAAGAGTTTAAATGTATCTAAATAAAATACTTTCACAACAAATAAATAAAATAAATAGTATGTAGGGATGGACGGTACATAATAAATAAAATAAATAGTTTTTTCAGATCTATCTCTACGGAAGATTAGCCCTGATGATGGGGCTTTAAAATGGTCGCACTTAGATGTAGAACATGAGATTGCGTTTCTAACTGCAGTTTCGATATGAGGAATTATTGTTGATATGATCTGCTGAATGTTCATTTCTGATGACTTTTGGACGGCAGCAGAATAGGACGTAGTAGGTTTTGGAGTGGTTATATTTACTTTTCTTTTTGCTTCTGCATATGTTTGTTTTCCATTACCTTTACTTTCTGTATTGCTGCTTCAGCTTTTAGTTTTGGACAATTCATATAAGCTGCTGAATGTGGACCTTCGCAATTTACGCATTTTTTGGGTTCCGGGCAAGGACCTTCGTGTGGAGGATTACCACATGGACATATTTTTTCCTTCTGACAGTTTCCAGCTGTGTGACCTAAAGCTTGACAGTTGAAACACCTGGTAGGTGGTGGAATATAAGGCCTTACATTTAACTTAAGGAACGCAACGCGGATTTCCTTTGGTAAGACAGTTTTCCTAAATATCAGCACGTGATTTGGAGTTTCAACCAGTTCTCAATTCCTTTTACTCTTTAGCCTTCTTACATGTATGACACCATCACCTTTCAGTTCATCCAATATCTCCTCAATCGAGCAGTTGAGCAAGTCTCTGCAAAAAAACACGCCTTTTCGGGTATTGAGGGACTGGTGTGCCTCCATACTCACATCAAATTCTCCAAACCTTTTTATCGGGAATAGTCGCATAGTCTGCTGTGTAGATTTAGTTTCAACAAGGAGACCTTCTCGAACCTTTCTCACTAACTTTACTTCACCAACAATTCCATATAATGTCTTTGATATAACAAAAGGGCTCACTTTATAAAAATTATCGTTTTCTCTTTTAACAAGCAGAAACCGGGGGCAATCGCCCATCGACCTCACGCCTGCTGAAGGACTGGAAAGTGCTCCCCCAGCACTACCCGTTTTTTGGAGGGCGGGCGCCTCCTGGATGTTTTGGTTTTGAGTATGCTTCATCTTATTCCCACGAGTAGGCT